GAGAGAGAGAGAGAGAGAGAGAGAGAGAGAGAGAGAGAGCAGCAGCAGCAGCAGCAGCAGCAGCAGCAGCAGCAGCAGCAGCAGCAGAAGCAGCAATAGGAAACTTGACAATACTTGGTGAAAATGAAAGTGAAAATTGTCTTCTACTTTGTACTTATGTCTCTCGAGGATTAAGCAACTGTTCCTGCCCCCCCTGGAAAACACGTCCCTGTTAATGCGCTAACGTCACAGGCATTATTTTTGTCTGTTTAGGGGTCGCAAAACAGGGCCCCATCTGAACCTCCAAATATACCCAGCCATGATAGCCATAGAGTACAGAAGCGTGACGTCATTTGACCCAGGGAAACTAGTGCAAACGGACAGAGTACGCACGTTTGTTGGCTCACGCGCTGGTTCTCGTGCTAGTACCTTTTATGCACATAAGGGAATATTTAGATGTTCGTGTTCACTTCGTGGACTGCGACGCGATGACGTCATTTTGACAATCATATCCCGCGCTCTCTGGCCCGGCCACTGCTAAAATCCAGATCGCGTCCACAGCATTTTTGCCGTTTAACTCAATGATCGAGCACGCCGTTCACAGAAAACGCCAATTTTTCTGGTAATTCTTGTAATTGAAGTCAGCATTCACGGGACGATTACCATGATCACAAAGCAACATAAATTCCTCATAATCTAACACATTGCCAAAATTACAAAAAGAAGTGCTTGGAGTCGATGGAGGTTCGCCATGCGAGCCAGCTAATAATCGTTCAAAATGGCGTGCGTGTGTGAATATGCATTACGAACACGTCACATGACGTCACTACACCTTGAACGCGTATCAACTGAAATCGAAACAGTTTTTTTTTTTTAAAATGGTGTTGACTGCTTGAGTGAACTTCCGCTGTGTACGTGAACAACGTTATCGTCCACACACCCTTAAACCCTCTACTATTGTGTTGGGGACGTATTCACTTCGGTACTCTCTCTGCCCGGGGCTGAAGTGCACCCCCAATGGGCAAAAGAAAGACATGTTGTTACTAACGTGTTCTCGTACGTGTTCTGCATGTACATTAAGACCATACATGGTGGAATAAATTAGGGCCATTTTCCAATAGTCAACTTTGTCTCCGTCTCAGGCTTCGTGTAGCAAAACCAATCCCCGATTGTAGGCCTGCAGCATTTAACTTAAATTGATCGAAGTTCTGTAATGTTTGGCTCGTTTGCATTTTGCTTGATGATTTGTGGCACTATCAGACTTACAATTGCGCTTACAACCTCAAAGTCAGGAAGTAAAAAACATTCAAGCCTGAGACGGAGCCCAAGTCGAGTATTGGAAAACGGCCCAGTTACCCGTACTCAGCGTGTTTCGCGTCAAACGCGCATATACTTGCGTGTCTCATGACACGCCTGCGCGGTGAGTAAAAACAAACAAACAAACGAACAGACAGAACAAAAGCAAACAAACAAAAGCAACACACGCCCTCATTTCTTCTGCTCGGAGCGGATAGCCCTAAACACTTCGACGTTTGATACGGTACACAGGATTAACTCAAGTACCTGACAATCAGGATGTCATGTCTCCCAGTTTTTACTTCCACCAAGATCCAATAGACATGCCTCATTACATCAGCTGATTGGTAAAGCACGGGTCGCTTAATGTGCTGGAAGATTGCTAATGAATTTAGCAATGAAGAGACACAGTTCTGCGCCCTCTGAAATATTCTTAGCGTGTAAACCTTTTGAAGGATAGCGGTTTTCGTTACAAGTAAATACTTTTTCAATGGTTAACCCGTTTTTTAATTTGTGATTTTACCCGTGTGAAGTTTTTTTGCAAGTTAAGTAATATTACTTAGAAATCACTTTAGAACTTGGTATTTTAGTTATGGAAGGTTCTTCTGGGGTTGGAAATTTCTCTTAGTAGGTCCCTGTCTACTTTTTCCAGAAGAAAAAATCTGAAATGTACTTATCTTTTGCTAGATGTTCTAAGGCCATAGGCAGTTTTCAGAGATTCATGACTATTAAAGGCGTAACGAGTTCGGTCTAGCGTAAGTCAGTAACAACGCCGTCCACTTAATGTATTTCGCAGGCATTAATGCTCTGTACACTAAAACCGCACTTGAAATCTAGTTTGAGTGCTGAAACCGTTTAAGTGTTTAATAGGAGACTCTGGTCATTAATTAGTTTCTATTCTCTTTGCATGAGATGTTTCCCCCAGACGAAAAGTTGTTGAAGTGCACACATGGTACACACCTAGTGTCCCCGGGCATTAATTACTCTGGCGCCTGTAGTCCTTTGTCAGTGCTAGGTTTTACAAGTTAGGAGCAGTAGGCCTAGAAGTCGCTCATTCAAAAAGCACATTGTAGCAAATTCTTTGGCAAAAAGGCCCTCGCCAACCTCTGGAGCTGATCGTGTGCAGCTTTTGAGACCCTCTGGCTAACTTTCGTCATTTTCTTACCCCATTTTTAAAAGCCCTGCAGAGAGAGAGAATCCAAGCTTGACTAAAGTTGAACTGCAGCAGCTACCCAGTACTCCAAAAGAACCAAAGCTACAGTTTTAGGAAAGAGCAACAGTCCAGCAATCTGTGGGGGAAACAATTTTGTGTGGACTGAGTTTGTCAAGATCAGCGCTCAAATGGTGTCGCACGTCGAAGATGTTGCGTACCACTGGCACGAGGGTAACATCACCGCAGTCATGGGTGGTGCTGGGGTTACAAGCCCAATCGACTCTTCCGTAAACGACACTGACTTCGCCTATGACCCTGGGGTCGTAATGTTTTTCAGCGTGAGTCAGGTTCTCTTCCCATTGATGTATGTCCTTCTTGCCATTGTGGGTCTAGTCGGCAACGCTGCAGTGCTTTTCATCATCGTATGTCACCCAGACATGCAGACAGTGACTAACTATTTCATAGCAAACCTGGCCATCACAGACATCTTCACTTTGGTGATGTGCACATTGCCTACCGCACTCTACGCAGCGGGTATACTGTTCCCGGTACCCGCCACCTGCAAAGCCATCAACTACATTCAGTATGTAAGTAAAAATGAAGAAAATTAATTGTAGTTGTTCCCTGAAAACCATTATGTCAAGAACACGGGTTCTGGGCGATCCATATAGGGGAAAAAGTTAATGTCCAGTTCGGTTTTTGGCATAGCTTACATGCACCCACAGAGGTGGCTACCCCGTATCAGTATGGTGGTGTAGGGTGAAGTTTCGGCTGCATTGCACGAAAGAATTAAAACTAGCATGTACACTCGAGATTGAGTCCACCAGAGTTACTGCAGAGTCCCATAGCCAAATCGGCATTTCAACGAGGCAAAGAAATTCCGGATAGCACTGACATTATGTCGGATAAAACACGTGTACTGTGTGAGTCGACGCATGGCTGCGATACCGAGTGCTGATTTGTAGCGCTCAATATCCTAAATGGCTTTTCATGCTTTCCATTTGGGCACAGCCTAATGCTGGATTTCCGAATTGGCCAATTCTCAATAATAACACAAGCTATCTGAGATGGAAGCTCAGATTGGAAAGTCTGCTATCCTAATCTTTCTTTGAAACACACACAAATGACAAAGGTATCTTTACTGATTCGTACATATTCATTATATGCCAATTGTATCACAAGATTAAAAACGGAGCAGGGGTGAGAAACGACAAATGTACTGTCTATTTGTCACGCATACCAAACGAATGGGGACAATGAGAAATGGTGCGAATACATGATACATAGACAGCTGGGAAAATTCGCTCTTAGGCCCAAAATATACATTTTTTGCTTGGTTATTTTATCCCACACACTGTAAGTGGCGTTCGTTGCACATCAATCTGCTTACCCATACACACATAGGTTTTTGAAACAAGGCACAAAACGGCGATGAAGTCACCAGTAGTTTATCTGATTCGTAAAGTATCCCCTTCTTATGCGTGGGATAACCAACGCATATGAAGTCGCAACATCTCACAGACACCTGTATTCTCAGACGTGTGAAAATCCTGGTTATTGTCTTCTATGGCCATAAAGGAGTGCTAATAGTTTATTTTAGTAGAGATACTTGAAATAAATTGAAACTTTCAATTCTCATAAGTTCTACGATCCAGAAGGACGCCATTGACGTGACCACACTCTTTGAAGGATCATCAATCCAGCATATCAAACACACGTATCTTATGCCTGAGTAATTTAGTTTCGGCCACTTTATCACAATGCAAAGTAGGAATCATTTTTTTTAGTATATTTTCAGTACATGTATGTAATCATCTTTCAAATCTTCTAAAAATGAAATCAAAACAAAACAGCCTTTCAGTTATAACTGACGCCACGCTCTCAGTGTTTGAGTTAATATTGTTTTTAATTTCTGGTTGGTACACGAGCAAAACGACCGGCAAACTTGGACAAGATCTTGTGTATTCATTTGACTGACAGCAATTGGAATGACGGCGCCAAATGTCAAGCAGACGTGCCCCGTTGGCAAGTTGACTACTCTTTCTCCAAAAAAACCAGAGGCCCACTACTCCAAAAAGTGCTGTATTTGCCGAGGACACGGAACACTTCATCTGCCACGGGCTATGCGTGCAATCAAGGTTCTTGAATATCAATGCCTGTGAAAGTGGCCACTAGCTGCCAGGGGAAAAAACACGGTCAAGTTCAGTCATCGTTAGCATCTTATTTCGCCCAGGCATTTTTTCACTCGCCGAAGCAATTCACTTGATTTAAGTTACACTTGCTGTAGGAGCTAAAAACTTTCCACTAAAATGTCCCCAGTGTACTTGATGTTGACTTCCAAAAGCAGCCACCTATAAGTTTCAAACGGACCTGGATTTCGTCTAGGTCGTAGCTGAAGATCGGCCAATCGAGTTTGGTCCTTAAATATGTTTGTTCTAAACGTCTTCCTAATAAGAAGTCGTTGGACCTGAGTGTCTTGAATCATGCTTGAACACTGTAAACGTGAGCACATCTACTAAACTGAGATGTCAAATTAACTCTCTGTGGCTTGAAATTTACATCTAATGTATCTGTAAAGGACAACTGGTCCTATTTAAATCCCACGAGGTGTTGATTCAGTTCGTCCGTTACGAGGGCATGGCAGGCATTGCACTCTTCGGATGATAACACATTCCAAATGCAGCCAATCTGACGCTTGGCCAAGAAATGTTAGGCTCAGTTTCACAAATTAATTGAACGACAACCGCAACGTAAGTGAAACAAGGACATACAATAAGAGGCCTGGAAACGGGAAGACGATACGCAGTGGCGGAAGGGGAATGCCGAGTGACAGAAGGAAGGGAAGTAGAGAAAGAAGCAGAGAGAGGATAGGGTAGAAAACAGAGGATACTCGGAAAAAAAGCAGAAATGCGCCATAAATACCAACCGCCCACACGCTTAACTTACCGGCTTACCGCAGCTCTGTGATGAAAGGTTCGTGTTATGTCTGCAAGACCTGGTGTCGAAAGTGACATGTATGGGGAGACAGGTTTCCCCCATGTTGCTGTTTTTTAATGGATTGAAAAGCACCAGCATTTAAGGAAAGAATGAAAAAATGGACAATTGTTTTTTGGGAAAAAATCCAGCCCCCCGAATCTGGTTACGTCACTGAAGGGAGTCAAATTAGGATTAAGAACACTCACTGTGTATATTACCACCCCCAGCTCCGATGTGTTGGTTGCTCCTTATCAATACAGAGAACAAAATATAAGTTGCAAGGCAAGTTTCATCCACAAAATACCCGAAGCACTTGGTAGTTGTAAAAATTCAATAGATCAATATTACGTATTGTTATAGGACTCTCTAACCAGTTTTACACAACTGCACGTGATGGTGGCAGGATGGTTGTGGATCCGTATTGCTAAAGGTTGCATTTTTGTTTTCGTGGCTTTTTTTCCTGAAGAAAGTGGACTTCATAGAGTGGTCCATGTTGAACTTAAATCCCCATTTTTTTCTCATAGTAATAATAATTATGTCAATAAGTGTGACTTTAGCACAGTACCTAAGGAAGACTTCCAAGTTTTCTTCGTACGCTGGTGCAGGCAAATGTGCACAAGTGCAAGCAAAGAATACTGGTGCCTCTGTCACTTAAAAAAATTCACATTAAGATGGTTTTCTTCGAGACGCCAGACGTCAACTCTTAGGCGCACATAAATTATGGACGAAGCTGGGCGCATGCATGACTACAGTACGTCTAGAGGGACTCTCATGATAGATCCAGTATTTTGCTGGCGGCACAATTCTCTTACTGTCACAAGAGCCTCACTGAACGAACATAATCACGCGCATGGTATATACCCTAGAGTGAGAAATCGTTCTCGGGAGCGGTTTTTGATGTCCCAGCAGTCCAGCTTAAGTTAGCAATGTGCCATTATTAAGCCCGGCCACGTTACTACCACTGTGACCTTAGCACCAGTCTTCCATTCAGAAGTCCCCGGATCACAGTTTGACTTTAAAGTTAAAAGTATTCACCTTTCAAAGAAATCCTCCTCAGTATTAAAACAGTCCCCTTCTCCTCGCCATCATGTTATAAAAGTGGAAACGCTTACAATGCTGATAGCAGACCTAATGCACGTGTTTGTATCCAACTCTTAGCTGAAATGGTTTCCTTTTGATTTGTCAGGAAGGTGGAAATTTCTTTACTCATTTCAACGATTCTATGTTCATGTTTTTCGTTCAGGTAATGGTGCAGGCAACGTGTTGCACATTGACAGCAATGTCAATCGACAGGTACAACCTGATTGTCCATGCCGTGCAATCCAGAAAAAGCCGGACCACCAGCAAGGTCATCATTATCAACACGTTCATATGGGCAGGTAATAACATCGGAAGGGAAAGCTTCCGTCAACAATGTCGTTTTCGTCGATCATTTTCGTCGATTATTTGTCTGTCTTGCTTTGGTTTTTTTGGGGTATGATTGTTTGCTTGTGTAATAGCCATGATATGATTGAAGTAATGCAGCCAAGCGTGGTTTAAGCGCAGGTGATGATCGAGGCATTTCATGGGCAGAGTTTTGATGTAACAATGAATTTACCAATGATTTTTCTAGTTAGGCTTAATTATTGCTTGGACTGATTGAGGTAATAGGGAAAATCTACAATACAGTGCTCCGCCATCAGGTTGACAAGGAGAGGCCATTTGTGACCCGCTCTGCAAAAATGAGTCATAAGTCCCCAGAGCCACTTATTGAGTTTTCAATAATATTAGAAAGAGCAAATTGAGGTTTCTGTTTTGATGTATCACTCAGTTTGGCATCCTGATGAAAGTGGATACTTTATGGTGAAAAATGCTGTGGGTTCCTATTGATTTACACTGTGCAAAATTATTCTAAAGGACTTTTTACTCCAAAGTGACTCAGGCAACCTGTGACTCATTTTGACAGAGTGGGTCACATTTTTGTTTTAAAATTTACTGTGACAAAAGCATGGCCGTCTTGCCGTGATATACTAGTATACACATGTTAGTAGACAACCTGAGTAAATGTTTGAAAGGACTGCTATTCGAAATAAACTGGTGAATTTGCTTCCTTGACAACTTATGTGAATAATTCAAATTTCCCGCCCGCAGCCGTCAAATAGAATTTTCTATTTCCCGCAGTGCACTTCAAAAAAGCCACTTCGTGGCAACCTCTTGGTGGTGCACTGTAATGTGAATCACCAGTGTCATAGTTAGTGACTTTGGGAGAGATTTGTGGAAAGGGATATGACAATTGGCATCCCCACATTATAACGTGGGTACTAATGGACAATGTAGATTATTTGCACCTAGTTGATCCTCGGCTTAATGAGGAAAATGAGCATTATGCTTCGTGAAGGCTCTTAACAAAAAATTAACAAACTACATATCCAATTAAAACCGACCTTGACATATCCATTTTGTGACACCGTGTTGTAAAGGGCCTGCTTTTTTTACTTCTTGTAAAATCTGTAAATAGAAAACAGGCCCTAAAATATTAATAATACAAAAATAAGGATGTAATTACTATAATAACAAGGGGAACACTGTGTTTGCTTTCAATCAGTTATATGTATGATAGTGCGTTGTATTATTTCATCTCATATTCTTCCTGCCTTTTATTATTTACAGCATCTTTTCTGCTTCACTGCCCTGTTGCCATCTACTCAAACATTACGCATCACAATATATGTGAGACGTTTTTCCCAACCGTATTGGCCGAGAAAGTGTTCCATACCTTCGCCACGATGACGATGTACGTGCTTCCGCTGTCCATCAACCTCGTGTGCTACATCAGTATTCTGCACCAAGTTTGGACAAGGACGTCGCTGGGGACAGAGAGCGCGCATGCACAGGAGAGGTCGGTCAGACGCAAGCGGAAGATCACGCGCATGGTCTTTGTAGTGGTGTTGCTCTTTGCCATTTGTTGGGCGCCTGCGCAAATCGTCCGGATGTGGCAGACTTTCGACTATGTCAATTACAACAATCTGCGGTTCACCCGTATCCAGTTAATGGGGTCGCTTGAATTTGTGGCTTTGTGCCTTGCCTACGCCAACAGTTGCGTTAACCCATTCGTCTACGCCTTCACGACGACGAGTTTTAAAAAGTACTTCAAAAAAGTTTTCAGACCATGCTGCAGGTTTTCATACAGACAAGCCAGATCAACGAGTACTATGAGTCCGTCGACATCCCGGGTGTCAAAGGTCCTCACTAGGGAAGAGTCGTCCGTGTAAAATTAGAATTTAGAAATATACCCACAAAGGAGAGACTTACAAAAAGTTTGTTAAAAAAATCATTCTATGAGCTTTAGGGGTAAAAAACTACAGTGCTATACTTTAAATGGCCGTAGACCTGTGGAATAGCTCTAACCAGGATAGACACGTTGCAGCTTATTATAAGCTGATCCACTCACGATGTCACTGAACTCACAATGGTCTACTGCAATGAGGAATAGTAGTGTGCATGCTGAGGAGCACGTGCGATGCATTTTGCCATTAACCAGGACCTGTCAATGTATTTTTGGAATCGCCAAGACGGTCCGTCATGGAAACACAGATTTGCCACCCTGTAGATTACCTCATTGATACGAAAGTTAACCACCTTTCTGCCCTTAACATAAGACTGCCCATGACAGACCTGGTAACCTGACACATGTCCATTGCATGGCCAGATCCATTGAATAAGAATGGACTTGAAATCTTAAACACATTGCCTTAACAACAAGCCAAATATAGGTGTTGTCGCAAGGTTTGGGGCTCAAAATGACATCCATTCAAGTCCGGTACCAAATCCCCCAAAGCCAATAGGCAAAAGGGGTGATAGGAATTTCTCCTCACACTTTTAGCTGTGCGGAATGTATTTTCAGGTAGGGAAGCTTTGACGCTGGGAATTTTAAACCAACAACGGATTTTGAACAACAGATAAACGGCTTGCACTGCCTTTGAGCACAAAACCCCTTGAGATTAGTTTTAGGGCTATCTTGGATGGCTCAAAGGTGAGATCGTCATTCCACGACCTTACTAAGCTCACGATTGAGCTTGCTTTACCAAACGATGTCGCCCAATTTGCCTTCCGTCATTCGAATGTGGGTACACATTAATCTTGTGTTATTGCAATATGTATTTGTGTTTTTGTTCTCAAGTCGACAGCATCTCTGAAGTTTGAAATGTGTTCCATTAACAAGTCTACCCTTGGAGTGCTTTTGGCATTCTTGTTTACGACTCGAAAGATCTACGCTGGCTGAAGTGGGAAATGATCCTGGCCGGATGCTCAGATTTTCCAGTTTGTGGCAGCTCTGTAGCTTCGGGGGCTTTTGTCAAATTGAAACAACTTCAGAGTAATAGAAGGGTGATTATCTAGCGCGGGTAAAATCAATGCTTGATGTCAGGAGAGAAATACAAAATGAAGACAGCCTTAAGAGGGTATTCTTCTGACGTAGAATTTGGCGCTCGGTGCTAGATATAAGCCTCAGGGCATTCAGAGTCGACTTTTGAAGAGGGAGAGAAAAAAAAACCACTTTTCCTTTTTTGAATTTGAGACGATTGCAGCTTCGAAGCTTGACAGTCTGCGTGTTTGTTAGGCAAAATAATGGTATCTTCTAAAAAGTCAGCTATCTTTTTCGAAGAGGAGGCCTTTATCTAGGTTCGTTTTCTCTTGTATATTTTCACGCGTTTGTGTATGTTTGTTCTAAAGTGGTCGTTGAATTTAGTAATGTTAAATGCAAATTCATGATATTTGATTATGATTATAAGTGTTTTGATTTCAATAAGAAGGACTTATCAGACAGACAGAAAGACAAAGAGACTGACACAACTAACGGACTGACAAACAGATTGTATGAGTGGAATGGCGTATACTAGAGCATTATAAACAGCAGCCGTAGATTAGGTTAGGGTGGTCCACTCCAATGCCTGTGAAACTGACAATGACCAGTGCCATGGAGAATCGACCATTTAAACAAGGTACCTGATACGACCTCTCATTTGAATTAAGTGAGCAGGTGTATTTATGCGTAAAAAAGGTAAAACTATCCGTGCTGGCTACGTGACTTTCGCCTGAGTGTCCGTCTTTACATTGCTCGACGTACCCAGGACACGGGCACCTCTTGATAATTGATAAAAGCTGTTGGAGCAACTGTAAATACGAAAGCCAGAGCATGCCTGGCGAAAATGACTTAAGGGCATATTTAATGTAATATAATAGTAAATATACAAATGATATGCATATATACTTTGCATGTTTACGTGTAGAAAAACTCCATTTTCCCGACCACAAAACTTCGCAAACGTTATCTGTGAGGCATTTGCTCCTGGCCATGATTTGTTGATAACAGCCCAAAGAATAATGACAAATTCCGGACCAGCAGACACAGAAGCTCATAGAGTATAAGGAACGTCCAAAGGTTTCGTTTCTCTTACTTGCACACCGTAAATCTGATTTTAGGTTATGCGTGATATTCTCTTTCACACATTGCCATCTGTCTCGGTTTACATCTGAGAAACAAGTCTTTTTGTTTTTTGCCTTGAATTTTCTTTTCATTCAAAGGGGGGGTGTCTACGTGAAAAGAGAACACAGAGAGAAAACGTCAATATGATCATACATTAAGCAAGATTCAGTAACGTAAACACTAAGAAAAAATATGATGCAGTGTTGAGGTTGCTACGGTAATCAAATTTTAAGGTCCGTAGTGCGGCACAGTTGCCAAATGCATTCAACCCACTGATCAAAAGTGTTGATTATTCCACCTTACTAAATTCGAGAGGCCGCTTTTCCCTATTTCCTTCCTGAATGCTTTTTAATATTCATAAGCATCATTTACATTTTACATGTAACAGACATTTACCAGAGCTGGTGGCAGCGAGCACATCATAATATTAAATATATTTTTAAGACTGTGCACATGCTTGATTCATTGTGTATTATTTATTGTTAATCTCCATTCACGTGAAGAAAACTGTAATCTTCTTCGACGTAAATACAGATTTTTATTTTTAATGATAACGGCTTTATAAAGACCAAGCTAATACTCAAGTGGTTACATGTTGCGTTGTAATACGGAGTGTTGAGTATAGGGCATTGTATCTGTAGACATGTACGTGTTGTCCCCTTGTACCTCTGCCAGTGTAACTTAACCATTCGACCCGAATCTCTCTCGCCAATCAATCCATTTCACAGCGGGTGCACACGGTTCGTTTGTGCACAGACCTTCGGAGGTAGGTTGTCACCTTGAGGAGTTAACAATGGATCAGTTAGTTGCTCGTTGACTGCGTCAAGCTCAAACGACGCGAGCTCCATTACCTGTCTGCTTACTGCATAAATGTTTTCAAATTAAAGGCAACCGTTAGTGGCAGCCTGTGGTCGAATTCCTAACGACACAAATTATTGCCAACTTATAAACCATAATTCAGTCCTTAGTAGCCATAAATCCAGGCCAGGCAGAAGCGATGGACATCGGAGATATTGAGCCCTGGGGCTGGGGCAATATTTATAGAGAGTTAAGAAAGGGGTGACTTATCCATTAGTGATGGAGGCGCATGAAGTAGTCTCACCCATGCAGTTAAAATTTGAATCATTTTCGGTGTAAAGTGTCACCCAAAAGTATGATTGTCAAAATGGCGGAATTCTGTCTGTCTGGTCAGGGCACATCTGTTGTATTATGAGACGTGGGTGTGTGAATGTATTAATTAAGGTGATCGTATTGTTGCGGGAGGGAATAAGGTCATTCGTCCAAGTCAAGTTGAGGACAGGTTGTGGACATTGTTGAGGGTTAATTTGCGGGATTTTTAACCATCTTGTCCGCAATCTCTCCGCAATAATGCAGTTAATTTGTTTGCATAATGTCCCCCCTCTGGGGTTTTGAGCAAAGCTGGTCACTCAAGGACACACTCACTGCACTAGCATTTAACACTGTCATAGCACAACTTATATGGTGCCACCTGCTGTGTGCACAGAGGCAAAATATAAACAACCATTCACTCATCGGCGACAAATCGTCCACGACTTGTCCGGCACGAGTTTCGGGATGGTCCCTATAAGGATTTGGTGAGACCAAGGAGTAAGATTATTGTGTTGGATGTTCAGTCATTAGCAATTCTTTCCTGTTGCCTTGTTCCTACCCACTATATAGATTTATCATGTTTTTAAACAAGGTACTTCAAGTTGTTTAAGTTGTAAAAGGGTACCCGCAAACGATGTATTCACTTGGATCAAACTGCGGTCCTGGCCCGAATTTTTTTTATGAGAGACTTCCATTAAGCATCTTTTTCCCTGCAGTAACAGGCCAAAGAAAAATACGGGAAGCGAATGAAATTTGAACCGACGTTTAGCAGGCCAATAATCCGTCCAAGTGGATATCAATTGCAAAGTATCAAAATGCTAAAAATTGTACATTTTGGTCACCTAGGCATATTGATTTTGTTGTGACAGGCCCCATTGTGACCTATTGCATTTCTGTCGGAGCTATCCCATTTGAGAAGATATGCATTTCGCAACCAGTTACGTTTCACAGTTGGAAAGTCCGTCGGCAGACTGTGTGCAGGGTTTGTTCGTCTTCTTATTCTCTCTGCGTGGGTGTTCGTCTAGAGATCGCTAAGGTTTACTGGCATATCATGGTTGCGCTTTTCTGTAGGCAAGAGTAGCCTACTTTGATGCCGATATTTATGTTCATGGATTCCATGCCTGTTTGGTTAAAGATAAGCGTTTAAGTCATTGCTAAAACTTCCTAATAAGAAAGCTGAATGGGTTATACCTTTTACAACCACTTTTGGCTTGAAATATTTGTATTAGGCCTATGTGTTTAAAAATACCTGATGTAACGGGACATTCAGTGTACACCTACTAAGGCTGCAACACACTTAATATTTATGTTGTTGATATGATTATGTTATCTTGCCTGTATCAAGTCGTCAACTTAATTCAAGATTATCCTATAGGTGGCGCTGCAATTTTCAAAGGTGAAGACCAGTTGCATGTATAAGTTTGCCCTTTGCTCATGGCAGTTTCATTTGACATTTTAGAGCATTTACTGAATTTGGCCTACTGCCTTAGGAAGCAAGAGTTGGATTAAGTAACAAGTGAAGGGAAAATTTAAATTAAATACTGTTAAGCTAAATTATATTCTGTCATTTGCTTTTAACCAAAGAAATCATGTCATCATAAGTTTTGAATCTCCACACACATCTTACAATGAAAATGTATTTTCAGTGTACTTTCTGCTACAGTGAGAGGTTTTTTGTTTGTTTTTTTCACATTTATGAACTTATTACTGGTGCATTTTCAACAACTTAGCCGATTAAGACTTCACCCTGACCTTTATAAGTCAATTCACTAAACATTTGCATTTGGAGTACACAAAAGTGGAATTAATAAAAGGTCAAAAATCCCTGTCTTGATTAGACGGGTTCTTATATTGTTTTCGCATACCAGCTGGAGAATTAAGGTGGCGTGCTGGTTGGGGGGGGGAGTGTTGTAAGTCGCCCCTGGTTGGTCAGTGTAGACTAATGAGGGAGATATCGGGTGGTAACCCCATCGCATCTACTTGTACAGCTGACTGCATCACGCGATACTCTAGCTCAAAAATATGACATTCAGGACCCTACGAAACGGACAAATGCGGAACAAAGAGAGGAGATAAAAAGATCTGGGAACGTGTACACACAGCTGAAACATGTCCAAGACAAGGGCGAGTGGCAATCGGAGACGACGGCATTGTTGCTGAGACGGAGAGGTAAAACGTTGCTGTATGTCAAGGGAAAGGTTGCAAGTCATTTTCCAGGGAGAAGACAAGAAATTATGGGTGAAAACGATGTGAAATCCTGCAGAGAGTGTGACACACCATAAGGTGTCTCGAAAAAGGGTAAATTGTTGCACTTGAACAGACATTCTAATGACATTTAAAGGCTGTAGACTCGTAACAGCAAAATGCCAGCAAGGGGAAAGTGCGCTGGCCTGCTGTGAAGCCTAATACTCTTTCAGAACTGTTGAAATTTTGATGCCATGGCATAATGGCACACAACTGAATGTCAGGTGTGTGTTATTGTATCAAGACAAACTGCGTGTAACTTGTAAATAGGTATATACACATTGTATTATTACATTTCTTGTGGTGCCACATATTCCCTGGTGGATGAATAAACGTATCACTTGTCCTTTTCCATAAAGTGACCTAGTGTTGTCTGCTTATTGGAAGATTGTAAGATAGGTAGTGAAGTAACAGATGAAAATTGTACAACAGAATAGGTCAGGCAACTTCCAGCGACTCTTATTTTGAAGTCCATGGTCAGGAAAATGTCACCAGGGCACTTCGAAGAAGCAAACCTCTGGATGCTGCTAAAATTTAATCTAACCCTCATCAGTTTGAATAGGGTTGATTTACAAAAAAATTCAATTAATAAGATAATAAAAAATAATTTCGATAACTCTAATGACAGAGTTAGTCACTTGTTATGGAACTTTAATTTAATTTAAATGTAAGAATCCTACTACAGCTGACCTTTAGCAAAGACAAACTTTTCCATAGACAATAGCAGAGTTGTGCGACTTCGTTGCTTTAAAAATAAACTTATTCCAACCTAAAAACAAAACAAAACAACCCCCAAAGTCAAGTGCATGAAACATTCAAAATAAATACGAAAAATCTAAAACGCACATGAAACACCAAACAAACCAAAGAGAAGAGACATTTCGAAGATAAACAAGCACAAACGGAAACCCTAAACCAAAATTAAAGTTTAAATGTTAAGGAAATCGGTTCTGAAAGAACAACTTCACAGAAAAAGGAAGATCCATTGGCGGGAAGTGTCGTTATAAGAACCGAGTTTTATTTTTTCTACAAAGTATATCACCATAAAATGGTTCGCCAAAAGTATTCGAAACATTAAACTGTCAAATACACAAGTATTAGATGGGAAACCATTCTGAAATGAACCTTCAATGGAAACGGTATTTCATTAATCAAAAGGATAACCACATTGCTTGAAAAAAAAAACACCAATAGAGGAGATCAAACTAGCCCCTCATGTAATTCCCCTCTGAAAACCGTACTTAGTATCTGTGTCTTTCTTGGTCGATAAATTAAATACTACCATTTTAAGTTACAGCAATTCGACTTTCACTTACTCTGACTTCGAGGTAAAGAAGTCCAGTTTCATTTCCAGTATTTTATGACAGTAAGTTTTGTTTCTCTCGAAAGCATTTCCACTATATTGTTAGACTTTGCGCGATACTTCAGAGAATAGTTACATCTATTCATTCGCTATTTGAAATTATTCACTGACAGAAAACTATGTTATGACCTTTATCTGGGTAGTTAAGAAACATCTGATTAAAATCTTAACACTGTCTCTATGCCTGTCGATGTCATTTCAGACCACTTGCCAAACAGTTCACATCGAGTGAATTTTGTCTTCTCTTTGCCTCATAAATTTTGTGTACTATAACATTTTACATTGGTTTCTCTTGTGTATCACATTTACAAATCGTTGCTGGTTATTAATCAATGTCATTTGCAGACGAAAGGAGCCCCAGCCCTTGGGTGATGCTCAGTGGCCTATTAGGTTCTGAATAAGGAGTAGCCTTTTGTTTTGTATGAAGTTTGGCAATTATTTGCAATCTCTTTAAAATAATTTAACCCCTAAAGAAAGATGGTAGTATTCCTAAACGGAAAAAAATGCTGCCAGCAACGAAATCCGGCTCTTTCCTTTGTCTAACTACAACTCTTTACATGTGTCGGCCACAACTTTCCACCTCAGCTGAGTTTACAATACACAAAACGGTCCGACCAGTCATTCTAAATACAATTAAGTTTTGCTTCCGTGCTTCGCTACTCGTGATATGATTGAAAATGTAACCAAAGTCCAACACACAGGTAGGTGTTCCACAACCTGCTTGTATAACGACTAGACACTCAGGATAGCAGCCAATATCTCGCAGATATAACTTCATTCATTTGTTTATTTAATTATAAACCCGAGTGCACGACTTTAATTTCGACAATTTTGAGCAATTTTGGAAAATAAACAGAAAAACAGAAAAGCCTTTCAACAGAACAGAGAAAGGCAAAAGTTACGCCTGTTGGGTCCAAGTCACCCCGTTCAAAAGAAAAAGTGCGATGTAAGCACCACTGGGCATTGGGCATTACTGTTGTGACGCAGAGCCCAACTCCGGTATTATTTGTAGCAGGCTATTCATGTAGGGTTTTAAGATGATTCCTTTCCACGCAGTCCCTTCGTCACTAGCCTTCTTTGTGCATTCTGTAACAGCCGGCTGTGTGTTTGCTCTGAACCAACGGGAGGGGTGATGTTGATCTGAGAATTTGATACCTGTGAGGTTTTTCCTCCTCTTGATAGAAAGTGCAGGCATCCAGCGACTGCCTTTCAATCTCTGGCGCATATGTGTCAGTTCGCCTACTGGCTGGTTTTCACGATGCTCTTTAAAATGGAATAGTCTGACTCTGGATTTGATGTATTCGCTAGATCACAAAATGCTTTGCTCTTGGAAACGAACGACTCTAGTGAACCCGTGTTGACCTTCACGGTAACCCGGAGGGATAGATCCTGGTCGACATTTCAGTTCCACCGTTTCAGTCCTGTAAAGTATGGTGAATAATGCAAAAAAGAACTAAATGATAAAATAACATCAATTATATTTGTTTCTTTCTTTACTTCATTGAATATTCTTTACCGTAGCAAATTGTTAACAAATAGCATTCGATACTCAAACTCACATACACAGTTCCGCCTAAACCCTAATCAAAACTGCATATATTATGCAAAACATGTGGTGTTAAACTGATGTTTGATAAATGCCCTCAAAACCACTAAATCTGGCTCAATATCCACACCGCGCACTTTATATGGATTCCGTGGATGTTGAAGTTACATCACACTTTTTGTAATATAATGAAAATCATACGGTAATTGGCCGTCATCACTGGTTGGGAGATCCTGGCTTAAAATACGTCGAACCTCTCTGTATTACCAGCATGGTTATTAAACTGATCTCTATTGTTATCAAAAGTTGTTTCCTGGTTTCGAACATTGCATAGATCTTTAGGCAGGGGCTACATACCCAAGTGTGTAACAAAGGATGAGTCACAGAATCGAGCCCCCCGATTTGTGAACCAAAGAAAAGAGACAATACTATGATATCACCCCATGTCATGATACTCTTTAATATGACATGTGTTTTTGTCTTCAGCGAATAGTCGATTTTCTAATTTTATCACCCGTCCATCATCCAGCCAGTCACTCCCACTTGTTGACACAAATGTACGTCACAAGCACCAACAGAGTGTGCATTACCCACTTATAGCACACTGATACGTCTTCAGTGGTTGTGCTGGGCCAACAAAGCCTGTTTGAGGATATTTGCTTCGATTTCACATGATCTTTTTAAACAGCAGAATATAATTTCCGCCATTTATTTCTATTCCTTGCTTGGCCTGAAATGCTGTTTCCTGAATATAAATTTGAAATACTCCAGATCATTACCAATAGAGTTTGAAGCCATGGGTCCTCTGCGAACGTAAATACACAACTTTTTATTACATTATCCCTGTTTGACCCATACATATTTCAAGTGAGTCCCAATCTCCGGTTGTCGTTTCACAAATTCAAATTCTTCGACTCATATTACGGTAAGTCTAAACCAAAGACCCTTTTAGAGGTAATCAGGCAATCGAAGATTTGCCGACGTGAAGTACACATGGGATACAAGCTGTAATAATTTTGAGTTCCACCAGGCCGTGCCCTCTTCGATTAAGCTGCCAGCCTGTAGGCATGTGGGCTCCATTTAATCGAAGCAGTCGTCAATCGCGAGAAGTTTTCTGTCATTTTCTCGTAGCGTATATCATGGCTTACAATCTGACGTGAAATGCTAATAATAAAGTTCATTTTCCTGCAACTGAGAAAAATGCCTGGGAATATGTCCTCGACCAAGTCTGATGGTAGAGCGGGAAAAAAGAAAATAAAGTTTTAAAGAATTGCTAAAAGACTTCTGCGTTTTGTTCGGCCAATTTTTCACTCCTCTAGACTTATGGAAGGAACTTGCACTACAGTATCAGTTGCGTTCCCAGCGTGGGGGAGGGCACGTTGCCTTTTTTATGAAATGAAAGTGCTAACACTTCTGAAAAGTTGTTTATTTGTCCCCCTCAACTTTTGTCCCTTTGTCTCCAGTCTTGTCTTTGTTTTTTAGTCTGTCCCTTTTTCACCACCCCTTCGTATTATGTGACTGTCTATTTGGAAGCCATTGTGCTTGTCTCTGTATTTCGCTCACCCCCTTGTTTATGAGTTCCTTCTTGTATCCTCTTCTTGTTTTGTTTGTTGTTCTTTGAGTTCTGTTTGACTGTTTTCTGGGGTTTTTATTGTCTTTTTTGTTTTGGTCATTAAAAAGTATTTGAAACCTGTTGTCGCCAGTATTCAGATGGTATCGTTGATTGTCGAGCATTTTCATCATGTGCATAGTGAGCAGCGGACGTGTGTAAGACACATATAAAAACGCATCCAGTCAAAATGGGTGTATTACCAGCTTGAAATAAGCCACTTGCGAGTTAAATTTGAATAAAATCCGGTACAATGTGTTATCTGATTGCACAGGAACGTAACAATTTGAATTCCCCAGACTAAGACACTGTTGCTATACCTCGTGATTCGGGGAAGGCTTTTGCATAGCGACCACCATCTCTGGAATGGACCGGTTCCTTTGTGCCGTTCTTATCCATTGAGAAAAGTGTATTGTTGCAAAATCACATCCACTCTTTGCGGGAAGGAGTGTTTAAAGTCACCCTTTATTAGATTGTCTGTACATCTGTACCTTTCTGCCATTTCGTTTGCCTGTTGTGTTTTAATGTTTCAAGTCGGAGTATAACCTTTCGTAATGTGTGCCACTCAAGGTGTGTTATCTCATACATTCTGAGAAAAGTGTACACCACAAAATTGCCTTATTAAGACGAGATTTCATTTTCCGTCGGGTCTGCGGGTGAAATGATATATACTGTATTATCAAAAATATGTAAAAGTATTAAATATTCTTGTAACAGCTTCATAAACATACAAAATTCATAAAGAAACAGTGCAATAAGGCATTTTGAATGAAGAATTTGAGAAAAATACCCCTCCGAGAGGAGGCAAAACTATTTTCCGAGTATAGATGCTTGTAAAAACTATTGTCAGATATTTTCTCAAGTGGTGGCACGCAATCACGTCCATTGTCTTATAGTTTAAAATTATTTTATCGGATAAGATGAATCAACAACTCACCGACGTTGCCACCGAATGTACAACTATGTCCTCAAAAATTAAAACAATAATATTGAGCCACTTTGGAGAAAAATGAGCCATAGTTCTATGCATATTTGGTTATGAACGTGAACGGCAGTCAAGACTGGTTGATTCAAAATAACGGCTCCTATTACAGGTGTTCGAAGGTTAAAATAATTATATAACTACAAAAAATTCGCTTCATGTCAGAGGGCAAGCAAGCAGATAAATTGACATTTCTGCAAATATTTTTGTTCGTCCAAACAAAACGAGTGAATTGAAACTGATGAACAGCACGTGTCACGTGGTTGCTTGTTCTTGAATGATGTCGAGAACAATGTGTTACACATCTTTTTGAACTGGAGCGGCTCACATTTGCACATCTCTGTTTAAATGACCTTTGGTAAAAACAAAGTGGCAGACAAGCCCTACATTTCAAATCATTTCTTTTGGTCAATCTAGTCGGCACTGTTTGTACGGTTATTTGTTTGTATGTTTTATGTCATTTTTTCCCTTGTATTTTGTGCAATTGTGTACTCTGTAAAGTACATCCTAAACTTGACATAAAGGAAATAAAGGAGCTTACAAAGCAATCGACAGGGTTTCTTCTACTTCTTCTTGATTTATTCAGGCAGATTCAAATAAACAACACGCAATATACAAACAATAAAAATGTGTGTCCTGAAGTATATATTCAATCTTCGTTTATCACATGGTTGCTCAGACGGGGTGGATTTTCTCTTTAACTATAGTGAGAGCAAAAAACATCTTTCATTCCACGCACAAAGGTAAGGACATACGGCCCAGTGGCATCAAAGCAACAACTTAAAGCAAAATGAAACTTGACCCAAAACAATCAAAATAAAACATTTGTGCTGCTGTTGACGCCAAGTATTTCCGTGCAGAGAAGAATACTCTGGTGGGAAATGGGTTTTTCATGAGTACAATGATTTGAAATCTTATAATACTCGATTAAATGCCTTAATTAATTTTATGGGCGGAGTAATGAAATCATTCACTGTGCGTACAACCGATTGGCTCGCATAATCCGCGTCATAAATGCTCTGCTTCATTACTGCATCTCATAGCAAACGTAAACTGGGCTGGTTTTCACTCTAAAAAGGATCAGTCAAATCTGATAAGAATTCAGTAAAATTTGACTGACTCTTCAGGGTCAGCTGGGTGCAACTGGAACTAGATTTTTTTAGTCAGTTCATTGATATTTCAAAGGCATCGAATAGGAATCTTGTCAGAAAGCATGATTTGCAACGCCAGCGTAGGTGTTTGACTGCATCCGTAGTCAATTTTGAACAACTAGAAACATCAGTCAACATGTTGACTAGGTTGTTTTAAGAGTGTTGTCTTCGTTTTTCCCGCCTTCTCCCTCTTCCTGCTACACTCTTTGTTCTCCTTGTGTCCCTGCAGTTTATCCCTTGCTTGTTATTTCGAGGCGGTAGGCCCCACAAGTCTAATTTAATTTTCTCGGTGTAACATGTCATCTACACCATTAAACTAAAGTAAATTTCTTTGTTTTTCTACAACCCCTTTCGAATGGAACATTTCGAAAATCTTATTTGAGTTGTGTTTTTGGGACTTGATGAATAATGTGTAGTGTTTTTGCAAGACGAATATATTCTCAATTTTAGGTGAATTCCTGTCAAACACATTGTTCTGTTCTAATTCTGTCCGCTAATAATTTTCCACATTTAATCATTAACACGTGAAGAGTGCAGCACTGTTATTGAAAAAGTCGCAGACCGATACAATAAATAATTAGTCTGTTTGGGGACCCCTGTTCCCAAGGAGACAGAATATGCGTAGTAATTTCATTTCGGAGGATTTCTTGTAATTTATACACAAAATATGTTTTTTATTTTAATGAACTCAGCAATTGCTTATACTGAGTAATTAACATTATGTTTAATAAAAAAACAAGTAAATATAACATGTTGTAAGCTCATAAAAATGATTACAAAATAGACTGCAGCAATGAAAATCGTTTTCACAGTCCCAAATTATTTTAATTAACTGCAAAATCTATCCCTTGTAACTGAATATCACAAATATATTCAAATATTTGAAACTGAAGGCAAATATGGTTAAACCAACAGTATACTCAGACTCTAATGCTTACTCAAACGCTTATTTATTGGCTGTGATAATTGTTGACATTATCCCCAGCAACTTCAGTCAAACTTCGACCAGTATTCCTACTCAATGTCAACAAACCAACTTTTCACAGTCAAAAGACGGCCTCGTTCAGAGTCCAACTAAACTATCGGTGGGTACTAGGACACGGCAGGTATACGATAAGGGTGGGTTGAGTTCCCACACCGCAGTGTACACCAACAATTCCAGCATATCCCTTGCTTCTTGCTCTTTGCCTAAAGCTTTGAGAGGGCAGCGAGAGACCACATTAAATTTTCATTGGATGTGCAACAAGGCGGTCCAATTATTACTTGATGTAATGCATGGCCTGTTCTGTTTCTTCACAAGGCTGAGACCGGGGGCGGAGAAGCACAGCCAATAGCCTGTGATCATCTGCTCTTAATCGCCATCACGGTTGGGGAAAATGACGCTAATGAACTGCTGAACCTCCCTGAACAGCTTAGTCAGCTGGCCGATAGAAGGACACACAGCTCCCAAAAAGGTAAGCTGAGAGCGGCCCACACTTAATTAGCTGTTGCTGTCCTTCTAAATTGGACATGATGAGCAATTTCCCTACAAACACACAGAAGAGTCCTTGGTAATTCTATCTGCATTTGCACTAATATAGGCCACAGCTCTATTAAAGTCCACATTTTAGCATAAACCTACGGTTTACTGGACATACATTGCATGTATAATTATAAGTCGTGGGGCAAAACCAAATACATTTACTTGAGATCTTTTTTCTAAATGGCGGAATTGCATCAAAAGTATTTAAAAAAGAAAACCCCAAAACAGGTATCTCCCTGTGGAAATGTAACCAGCACAGCGATCACAAAACAGCACCAGCACTTCCAAGTGTGCAGCTAGCGGGGTAGTGGTTTTCATATTTTTCTTTTTTAGGAATTGGAACCGGTAGCATTTTGGATTTTAGTATTTATCTCCTTTTATGGGGGGGGTGGGGTGGTGAGGAGTCATAAACTGAAATAAGGTTGGACAAAATTGAGAATTCAGATTATATTTAGACCCCCCTCCACTTTCAGCACGCCAACACTGCTAACCCATAAATACAATTGCCTGCAAAACAGCACGCGAAGTGCATGAAATTGTTCTATAAATGAACCTCGACCACAGGCACACGAGAGTATCACCTTTGCCGAGTCTACACAAATACAAACAGGCTGAGCACGATTTGAGCCAAATCCCTTACACAGCAGGGATAGGGTGCACCACGGCATCGGTTTGGGGTTAACTGTTACCCGTTTTTGTCGAGAACATATGTTTCCGTATTCGTGTTCCTAAACTCCACTGATGCGACCCTGTTTGCTTGTCTCATGTTCTTGTTTGTGTTGTCTCAGGGTAATCAGGAATAAAGCGCTGGCTTCATTGCCAGTATACTAGGTGTTAGGTGTCGTTATTCAAACTGGAGCAGGTTTTGCTCATAGATACGTCAACCTTTGCACTATATACGCACATCTAATTCTTCAAATCCCACAGAGTCGGAGGTGCTCCCCTGTTGTGGATCCAGATGAGACAAAATGGTTATTTTTAATTAACTGAAACAACAGAATGCGATCCACAAAGTTCTTGTATTTGTCTTTTAATACTGTCAACGAGTATATAACGTAAATTAAAAATTATAGTATAATTAAGTAAAGCTGGGCAAGATAACTAAATCGTTGCTTTAGTTGTACAGGTGTAGCTCGTGTAGTGGAAAAACTCGAGTTAGTCAGTCTTTCAACACTATAAGCACGAATTTCCACATTTCATTGAATCTTGGTGACGGAGATTTAGAGCATGAACACAGTTGGCTTGTGCGTGTCGCTCGCCGTTGGTTGTCATGCACTGCTTCCCCGGCCGATACCACCACTCTCGGCATTGGGCACTACAAATGATTACGAGCAATGTATTGAGCGTGCACTGACCTCGATACTGAAAATCAATTGAAAGAATTTCCGAAGCGTGACCAGAATATTACGGCTAAAGTAAATGAAAACAATAAATATTCAAACGGGGGTAAACATCAACGCGGCTCTCCTTATCACCTGGTTTCAAGATTTGATAGACGAATTCTTCTCAAATAATGGGAGCCCACATCGGAATGTTGAGCCGGGGCACACGCACATACAAGCAAAAATCAAATAAACATAGCTTCTTTCGTGGGTAGTTTTAATACTCTGCATGTCGAAAATGCAAGCCCTAACTTAATAATTGTCGCCAACGCGGCCTCCAATTTTGCGAGGGTAGATATTGCAAACAGCTTTGGAAAGAAAGAGGTAGGAAAAGGTTACTTGCACTGTAAAGTCCCCGGTGGGTGCGAGTGCGTCAATATTATAAACCCGGCCGGGTTCTGCATCATCTGTTACTCGGTGTCCGTCGAGGCAGGGATTTAATCGTGTTTTTTTATCGGCGGTGCATATTCTGCGGTATAGATCCTTAAAAGGAGGTTTCTAGATATTGCCAGCTGCAGACTGGCTTTTTTTTTCAAATGAGAGGCCCAACAGCTGAAAGAATGAAATACCATATGAAGAGTGCACTCAACGGTTAAGGGACAATGTGGCAATTTTCCGCAGACTACTGCCCATAGAGTGTCGATATATTTGTCAAAATAGTGCAAAAATATCATTGCTATCTAATTAGTTGTAGAGCTATTCTGTATGGCATGCGTGAACGACATTTGAATCGAACACTGAAAACTGTGGTGACTCCAAGGTGTGTGCCCACATGTGTAAAAAAAGAAATGGTCGAAGTGAAAACAATCAGTCAGCACCGGTTCAATTCAGCGATACTTTTGGACGTGACATTCAATATCAATTGTGTGCTTTGTTGACACATGTTTGGGTTTGGGGTTAGAGGTTTTTTCAATTCTTTATCAAACAAAAGTTATACTATCAGCTAAGCTCTGACAGCAAAGACAGTAGCGCATCGGAGTTGAGGGTAAAGGGTCATGGCTGACTAATGCTATACTATATTTCCTGGCACACCTCGAACCTCCCTGATGTAGTAAACCATATTCCAGAATGCCTTATGTACACAACTTTATATCATCTCCCTCTTTCCTGAAAGACGGATTCGCCCTTCCGGACTGGTTATTCTGTATTTTCGGGAAAAAACGGAAGTAGTAAAATGAAGATGCAAACCCCAGGAAATTTAAATAGATGATCGACTAACAAATTTCCCCTCACACATTCCGCAACGAAAACAATGAGGCAGCTGTTTTTATTAAAAGGGTAATCAGTCACCAAAATGGTTGCATTCCTCTGACAAATGGCAATGATAAATCACGACTGAAACGGGGAGATTTGGAGGATATCAAACCACTTGACCTCAGAGTCTTTATCCCTGAACTTTCAGGCAACGCCTGCAATTGTTTACACATTACTTCTCCCTTAACCCTTGACCTTTACTAGACAACAATCAAGTCCTCGAACAAATTTTAAGTCAATGTGTATTTCATAGATATATATGTATGTGTGTTAACTTTTAAAAAATAACAAAAACCTCTCTACACCATCAAAAATTCGGCAGAAGTCTTCAGTACTGGGATGCAAAACCACCAACCCTCGCTTATTGTAATGAATTTGCATAACAATCTCATTATCCCACACCCCACCGGGGCAATGTACCCCGAAATGTTTCTCGTGTCTGCTCGTATTGGGTTTCAGCTAAATGGGAAAACAGAAGGACGATGGTCGTGTTTTTGAAGGGAACCGGGGCATTTAATATGTCATTACGCGTTCATCGGAGATGGAAACATGTAACTCGAAACCTTGTACTACATTGGAGAAAGTATTGCAGTCATTTATCGCATCATTTTCGCTCAAGAGTACATTGAACCGCTAGTTTGTTTGACACGCGATTGTGTAACTTGACTATAGCCCCAAACGGACAAGTTAGGTCCTACGCTCTTTGTGGTAATTAAAACCAGCTTCAATACGATTTGCTTTTTTTTCTGTCCCTCCCCCATTATAGTGTTGTTTTTGTTTTAATGGCGCTTTTAGCTACTCAGGCTATTTGCGCCAATATCTATACATTTGTTCATAACCTTTGTTGGCTTCACATTACGGAATTAAGAAGAAGGTCCAGTTTTAGAGGCAGGAGAAAACCGCGAGAGCGAACATGGACTGGAAACCAAATGCACTTAAAGCCTGGGCAAAGTCGGGACTCGAACCCGGGCCTCATTGGTGCAAAGTGAGGAAAAAACCACCACTTTAACCCTAAGTGTTGTAATTATTTTTACTGTGCGTCAGTTTGGACCAATAAGTTGCCATTTCGGTAGTGTTTTGGCCGGATTCTGTGCCACAATACAGAGCGCAGAACGTGCTACATGACTGGAAAGTTTTACCGCACGTAGAGTATTCGTTGCCTCGCGTTTACCTGGCGGGCGTCTGATTGCCTGCGCTGCGCCCAATGTGCATCGCAGGGACGGATTATTTTCAACTTGAATATTAGCCCCATGTGGCGCAAATTCTCGCCCCTGATATCACGAGTGTTTTGACAACCCGTAAGCTGAAACATCGCAAATTGCCAATCAATTTCCTTCCAGCATCCTTCTCTTGAAAATACTTGAGAATTGTCGTTAGAAGAAAAACTATGAAGAAAACGTGAGATGCTGAAGACAAAAAAGTGAGACAGGGTCGTTGCCTTCGGCGAGTAATAAACTTTGGACTCAAAAGTATTCCTTGAAAGACTATCTGTCTGGTTAAATTCAATCTCCTTTATTGTTTTTAATTATCAGTATCAACCCCTTCTTCACATTATTTAGCAACGTGTTGTCAAATCCTCAGGCAATTTTGATTGGCTATATTTTGTCGTCCTCACTTCGCACCTGCGGCGACTTCAAATTTCAACGTACAAACGAAAGAAAAATTATTTTCTCCTTTTGAGTCAATTCTTTAGTACTTTTTTATTGAGCCCTTTGTTGATACTGTTGTTCTGCCTCGGTATTGGATGGCGTGGGGAAACGATTTTGTGAGATGTAACAATGTGTTTTGTGAATAATGGCTTTACCAGTCAAGGACTTTAAGCACACTGGTAGCTTGAGGATTACATGAAACTTCAGCTTAATTCAACAAAAAAATTTAAAAAGTTATTCAAAAATACGAAAATGAGGAGAAAAAAGCACAACTGATCCGCTCGAAGGAATAATATACTCAGGAACGGATCCAGACATTTTTCCAGGGGTAGCAGGGCTGTCATTTATTCAGTTTTTAAATATATGATTGTTGCGGACAGGCGAACATTCTAGGTAATGCATTACAATGTTACTGATGCACTTACCTTGCTACAAATCGTTTACTTATGATTTAATTGTAATTTCATACTCTTGGTGTCAGAGCGGGGTGGGAGATGGGGGTTAGGGTGATCCTCCAGAAATCTGGATCTGATCCTGGTACTAGGCCTCGATGACACAACCACAATGACAGCGGCGGCGATTTTTCGTCAGGGTAGGGAGAAGCACACAACAAGAACACATTTGACTGTAAGGCGCCAGGGGTATAT